GTTAAGTGACTGAGGAACCAAGTCTAGCACTGGCAGCCACATGCCCAAGAATATGCCACGCTCTCTCCCTGGTACCAAGGCCACAGCTGGTCCTGGCCATGCAAAGGACCCTGCAGCCCACAGAAAGTTAAGGTCAGGTCAGGTCAGGGGAGCTCATCTTGGATCCCACAATCTGCCCGGGTCCCTGTGGGACAGGTTGAGGGGTTGGCTCCCCAGTCTCCCCGGAAGTCCTGTCTGAAAAGCACCAGCTGGGAACCAGATGCAAGATTTGAGATGCATGCGGGCCAACAGACCCGCCCCACCATCACAGGCGCTGTCTCCATGGCAACAAGGGCTTCCTTAATGCTGCCCAGGATTAAACGGCTAGATGGGGCTGATAAGATAGAGGGTGTGGTGTCCAGAAAGGACTGCTTGCAGCAGACGCCTCTTGGTGGGCACAGCAGCTGAGACCCCTGCAGACCCAAGGATACCCATGGCAGGCGGCAGTGGGGATCCGCAGCCCACGGCCTGAGCTCTGCCAGGGACTTCCCAGCCCTGGATCCAGCCTGTGATGGCCTCTGTCACGGGACCAGTTATTACTTCCTTAATCGTGTGGGGCAGGAGAGGTGACTGCCAGTGCCCTGCAGCTCGCAAGGACTGACAAGATCGTTTACCCAGCAGCAACGCAGGCACAGGAAGGAGAGGGCACAGTCCCACCTCCCCCTCCCCCACTCTGTGCTGACCTGCCTGGGCCAGAAGAGGGAATCTCTGGAAGAGCCAGACCCTGTTAGACTTAGTTAATGGAGCTCTAGAGGATGCCAGGATGATCATGTCCTGTTTGTGGCTCCAGAGACCCTGGCTGACGTGGGATTTAAACTCAGGCAGAAAAGCTGGAGTCCAAGCCCCCCACTGGCCTTCATCTCAGTCAGCTGGAACAGTACTGCAGTCCAGCCTGGCCTCACCACCTTTCCATACCACTTCCCACAGAACCAGGGGAAGGCACTGCCAGCATTGGGGAGGGGACCAGCTGGGGCTGGGGAGACACTGGACCAGAAACCCGACTATCCAGTCAGGAAACAAAATCAAATCTGGAGTTTGGCCACTTTCCTACCTCTAATCCCTGTGCCACTGCCCCCTGGACCGATCATCAAACAAGAACTGCAGGAAGGGGGGGGTCAGGCCAGCCACCCCATACCCAGGGATCCCGCCCCGGGCAGCCCCGTAGCATGCCAGTGTGAGTGGAGTGGGGGGACACAGCCCAGGCCTCCATCCCTGCCCAACCCCTGAGGGTCCACCTTAGGTCCTACTGGGACCAACCACCTCCCTGGAGGCCAGCAGGTTCTCCAAGGTCGGCTCTGGTGTGGGCCAGCAGGCAGACTCGGCAATGTCCCTCCTCAAGGCCACTTCCTGCCCTAATCTTGGCCCTCCACCCAGGCCCACAGGATGTGAGAAACTGGTCCAGGGTCACAATGGGAAAAATCTTGCTAAAATCCACAAACCTAGAGGTCAAAGTGGTGCAGTACTGGGCTCAAGCGTCCCAGCTGGGACTGACGGAAGGGACCTCGATAGACTCTGGCCTGGCAGGGAAGGCTGAGTTCCTGGGTGACAGGATGAACTTGAGCCCAGTAAGCCAAGGACTGTCCATCTCCCAGCCACTGGCCTCTTTCAGCTTCCCCAGGACTTCACAGTCACTGTCTCCATTAGTATCAAAATACGCTGACATTTGAGCTTTGCCTATGACTGCCACTCTGGTGGCCACCCACTCTCCTGCTGGGTATGGTCACGCAGGAGAAGCCTAGAAGACACTCATGCCCTGGGACCCTGAATCACCACCTTGACCCCCAAATGTGAGACTAGGCAGCTCCAAACCTGAAGGGTCCTCCAGAGCCCCTACCTCCACCAAGGTCATACAGATAATGGGTAACAGAATTTGGGACTGGTTAGAACAGAGGAGGAGTCATGGAACTGGGGCTCCAAGGGACCAAGGCTTGGCAAGAGACTGGGGCAGGGCCATGCCCAGAGAAGGGGGCTTGGGCCGGACTAGTGTGGAGTCTGCACAAAGTGCTGTTGATAAGCAACTCATACCCAGAGCAGAGAGAGAGCCAGACAAAAAGGAGCCCGGAAATCTCCGAGAAAGGAGCCAGTGAATCCCCAGTGGCCACTTCTTCCTTCTTCCCAGGTGGTCCAGCAGTTTCAGGATAGGACCTCACCAGCACCCCCATCACATGGTCACCACTCATGTGCTTACACACCTCGTGGCACAGGACGGGGTTCGTGGTCAGGATCACTGGGGTTTTTGAGCTTCCTGGAGCTTCATCAGTCAGATACGACAGATTGTGTAAACAGGCGACTGTCTCCTGAATTAAGCCGCCCTACCTCTGTCCCATCCACTCCATCCACCGCACAGGGTAGTGCCAAGTCTTACTGCTCAAATCGGAGTAACCCTCCCGGGCGAGGGTGTGCGGTGCAGACCCAAGCCAATGTACACTTAGCTTCCTCTCACCTCCTTTGACCTGAGTTCACACAATTTGCCCTCTAGGAATTTATTTCCACATCAATGCCTAAGGTATCAGCAGAGATCTCTGTAACTTGCTCACAGAGAGAGAGAGACAGAGAACCACAGAGAAGTTGATATTGAAAGAGAGACAGAGGGAAACTGTGTCCAGCACATGGCGTGTACATGTGTCCAGGGGCGAGGGGTGCCCCTCTGGCCTCCCCACTTAGAGGGAGCCGGGCCAAAGCTGGAAAATTTATCCGAGTTGGCCTGGGATTCCCAGGAAATAGCTCTGCCAGCCCCGACAGCTCTCGCTATTGTAGGACGTCCTGCCTAACCTCCTCTTCTTTCTAGGAAGCCAGCGTCTGCTAACCACACAGGCCTCCTCGATCCTTGGAAGCACTCTGGAGGTGCATTCTGTCTCATTTGAGCCCCAATGAAATCTTGATTTGTTTGTGTGAGACAGGGTCTAGCTATGTAGTCCAGGCTGGCCTTGAACTCACTATGTATCGTAGCCTGGTCTTGAACTGGTGGGAAGCCTCCTGCCTCTGCCTCTCAGATTCTGGAATTTCATGCCTCTCCCCATAAAAGTCTTGGAAGATGGGTAGAAAGTAAGTTATTTTCCCATTTCACAGATGAAGAAAGTGAAGTTCTGAGGATAAATTAAGGAAATCCTGGTAAACCAGTGACCCAGAGGAGCCCAAACACCCCAGCCTTCTGTCTTTACCCACCTGATTCAGGGATTTTCTGGCTCTCCTGAACCATTTCCCACAAGCTGGTTCCTACCTACCACTCAGGGATCCCTATGCAAATGAGATGCAAAATAGCCCAGAATTCTAGGCCTTCCTGGTAACTGAACTAGAGCTTGGTCTCCATCCTCCCAAACCCCTCCCTCACCCCAGCCCTGCGAACCTTGCCAGGATGAGCTAAGGGAGCTTTCCCCATATCCTCAGTGCCCACTCCAGTCACCAGCCATACTGGGGGTGGGGGCAGAGGAACAGCCGGTTCCTGACACGACACTAAAGCTACCCAAGACCCACTGGGCTGGGGTCCTGAGAGGAGGCGCTCCCAGCTCGTGAGCATCAAGGAGGGGTTCGGGGCCCGGGACTGAGATGCACAAGAGCACAGTAAGCCAGGGGACGGTTGGCACCCTGTCCCAGGGTCCTATGTTTTGATCTGTGACTGACTGTCCTATGACCTCTCCTCCCCGGCCACCACAGTGAGACACAGATGAACTATTTGGCAGTTGTGGCCTCCACAAGCATTGCCTGGAAGGGGGAACCACAAGGCGGCTGAGTCTGGCACAGGGTGGGAATTCCAAGCTCCACATTCCAGATTCCCTCCCATCCAGGAACAACGGCCTTTGCACTCCCAGGCTTAGGCACAACTGCCCCCTGGATTTCCTCCTGCAGCAGTGACCAGCCAGGGCCAGGTGAGCAGTGGAGAGGGCCTACACTCCTAAGGAGGTAGATCTGGGCTGGAAGACAGATGGAGTTTCTTTGGGGCTGAGCGAGAAGGATCATGGCCAAGAAGTCACCCCATTTCTAATTAACCTTCTAGTGATACAGAGAAAAACCGTAGAGACAGTTTTTTTTACAGGTATTCCATGGCTCCAAGTTCCAAAAAATTCATGTAATGGCTTCAGCCCATCCCAAACCATAAATACTAGCCCTAGAGAGCTTAAGTGACAGCCCAGGGTGTGGCTCCTTACACACACACACACCCACACACCTATGCACACACAGGTGTTCAGCATATACCCATCCTCCCCCACATGAGCATCTGTATACACATGTACCCACATATACACACGTGCACATAACACATACACATGTACACACACAGATCCTGTGTATACAAATACTCAAAATGGGGAAAAGACATAGAAAAGGGATTTAAGTCTGAATTTGAGACCAGCCCATGCTGGGCAGCTCCTGGACAGAGAGAGCACCCTGCCACATGTCCCTGCTGGTGGAGAGGACAGGTCTCAGGCTGTAAATACAACTAGAGCCTGGAGCAGGGCACTTGGATCTGCAGAAGAATGGATCCCTGTGGGAGTAGCCACTTGACAGGGCCTTTGGATGCTCTCGGAGTCCCAGAGTAGGGGGTTCAGAGTAGAAAAATTAATCTTAGCTGCTGGGTCATGTGCTGGAGGGCCCCCCAAAACCCCACTGTGGCAAAATACGCCATCTGTATGCTGGGGGTGACCCACAGAGGGGCTGGAACCAACAATAGAGGGATCCCAGGTGCCAGGTATTGTACCTGCGAGAGTCTCCTGCCTCAGTCTCTGAGCTCCTCCATGCAGCCAGGAATGGCAAGAAGGTGTCCCAGACACCAAGATATCCTGGAGGACTTGGCTTGTGCCAGTGTGGCCAGAACAGGTCTCATTTACTTCTATGCACCCAAGGTTTTCCCAGGGCTGGCCAAACACACCTTCCCTCCCAGGAGCTCAGCTGCCCCAGTGGGAAGGAAGGCAGAGAAGGACCAAGTGGCCCTAGATGAGCCACCCCTGAGCCCCAAGACTTACCCAGAACTTGGAGCCACACAGGGAGTCCATGAGGCCGAGGGGCCGTGGTGGCCAGGAAGAACTGGGACAATTGTGAGGGCAGGTGGACTGGTCTGCCTATGCAGGGCTGATGCAGGAAGCTCAGGAAGCTCAGGCCCCGCCCCAGCCTGCCTCCCCGAGCCCTCCCACACCAGGCCCTCTGCCAGGCCACCCTGTCCCTGTGCTTTCAACCGTGCCTCTGCCAAACTTCTGAAGCCCAGGGATGTGCTGTGGGGGCAGGGCCCAGGGACCCTTGACAGTGGAAGTCCCATCTCCTTGCCGCCGCCCCTGGACTGCCCCTCTCGGTCCTCAGGCCAGTAATCCGGATCGGACTCCTTTTTCTGATGCAGGGTAGATTGGAGGGTGCTGAGCTCAGACCCTGAACACGTGGGGCTGATGAGTCAGGCAGAGGGATGTAGCAATCCTCCGTCAGCTAGAAAATCTTCATGAGTTCACATTGATCTCTGGGTCTGGTTTCCTTCCTCTGTGAAGGGGAGGGGGGCCTGTGGACTCAGTCATCTGGGACCGGCAGGCACCTCACATCGCTCTCTGGTGTGCACTTAAGCACACATGCTTTTTGGTACTGGGACTCGAACTTAGGACCTTGTGATTGTCAGGAAGGCGCTTATGCAGGTGAGCTATATCCCCAGCACCCCAGAGCCTGTCTTTTGCATCTGCAGAATATGGATAATATAGCAGAATCTTCCTCCTTGGGTTCTCCAGGATTCAGGCAGACAGGTGGCAAAATATGGCACCCAGCACACTTAGGTGCCCAGTGTGTGTTTGTCTTTTCTCTTCTGCCTGACCAGAGTGGAGATAGGTAGAGGAAAGCCCAGGAAGACCCCCACATCAGTGCCCCTTTCTACAGCTGAGAGTCCGTGCTCCCCACCTGCAGAATGGGCTTACTGCACTGGGATCCCCGTCTCTCTCCCGCATCACTCTCTTCTCTGACGGGGTGCCAGAGCCACTCAGCCTCCCCAGGGTTAAGGGAATTCTCCGGGGAGGATCTCTGGATCTCTCCCTGCCTGCACTCCCGATCCAGGTGCCTTTTCCTCTCTACAGACAGTTCAAGGAGTTCCCTTCCTTGCCTGTTCAGGGGCAGGCGTGTGAGGGGCCAGCAAGGTAACGCAGAAGTGGCCAGGAGGAACATCTCAGGCTGTGAACTGGTAGAACGGAGGTGGGTGGACTTGGGCAGAGTGGGCATGGACAGAGCAAGGCTGTGTTTCCCCAGAAGCTGAACAGGGGAACCTCGGTGCCTGCAAGTCCTCTAAACCTTTCTGTCCTGTCCTGTCCTCCACCCCCATCTCCGGGCAACAGACTTTCCCGTCTTGTCACAGTGTGACAAGGCCGTGGGTTATATTTGGTTGTGTTTAGTTGTGAAGAGTCTGTCTTCCTGCTAGTCTGAGAGGTCCCCAAGGGCAGGGACTGACTGAGTCACCTCCAACCTCCTCCATGGAGTACCATTTGTAGCTGTGTGACCTCCACAAACTCCTTAATATCTCTGGGGCCAGGTGGCTTGAGCAATTTGGAAAAGGTACCTTCAAAATTCCCTTCTGGCCCTGGTGCTCCTGGCTTCTACAGCAGCCTGAGCTGATGGGACTGTCCCTCCATAGCTTCCACAGCACCCCTTCACCCCGTCTTTACCTTAGGCTCCCTGGCGATGTCCTCTGTCTCTCCCTCCTTTCCTTGTTTCTTTTCTTAAACTTATAAGGTCAAAGAAAGAAAGAAAGAAAGACAGAAAGAAAGAAAGAGAAACTTATAGGCACCATATACACCAAGAAGGCTAGCTCTGGGCTTGGAAGACTTGGGAAACTGAGGCCCTTCAGAGAGTGAGCTCCCCAAGAAGCCCCCTTTCTAAGATGGGGATCCCAGATCCAGCTTGGTTTCCCTTGAGACCTTCCAGCCCCAGAACTGGCCAGGTAGTGCAATGGTTAGAGCCCCCATTTATGGTCACGATCCTGGGATTCTGGTTTCAGCGTTGGACCTAAAGCACCATCCCCTTTGGCTGAAGCCTTTTTCCCCTGCTAGGGCCTTGCCTGGACTCAGCACTGGGTGGGAAACTCTAGGAGCAAAGTGGGGCTCTGGAAACCCTGGTTTTCCTCACCCCTGTTGAAGCATTGGGTGTCACCCCTCCTGGCTACTCCTGGGATTTGGCCCCTTTACTCAGCCCTTGAGTAAGCTTGGTACTTCTGGGATGGTTATTATCTTTGTTCTCCCCTACCCCCAGAGCAAGAAACTAAGGCCTTGAGATACCCCAAAGCTTGCCTAGGGCCACGGAACTCATCCTGACACAGCCTCCTGGCCTCTCCTGCGCCCTCAGCTGCTGCAGCCTCCCAGACCCTGCACCCCACTTCCATCCTGCACCCAGTGAACAACTTCTCCTTTAAGATCTCACTCGAGGCTCTCACCTCCACCCAGGACCAGGAACCTTTCTTCCTCTGCATTCTCCTGCCTTCCATTGTAACCAGTCTTGGTCTACATGAAGTATTTGCTGACTGACTAAACAAGTACCCCATTTCCTAAGAAGAGGTCATGATTGGCAAGGCCACTATAGGGGCGTTGGCCACCCTGCTGTTGATTTTTTAGAACCAAGGTGGTTGTAACTGGAAGATGCTGAGAGGAGCGATGAAGCCCTTGTGAGACAGACTCCAACAGAAACACAGATCAACCCCGCTTCCCCTCCCCTGCATTCCCCTGACTGCAGCTCCCGGCTGGATGCCTGACTTGTACTGCGCCTCCCCCTGCAGTGAGCATGCCCCAGGGAGCCTGGCACCAGGGATTTCCTGGCAGGAGATGGTGAGAGATGGCTGCTCAAGGCAGGAAGGCAAGATAGGAATGTGGAGCACAGGGACAGAGACCCAGGCACAAGAGGGTGGTGGGGGAGGGGGCTCCAGCTCCCACGCCCAGCACCCCTCCTTGTCTCGTGTTCTCCAGATTCCAGCCTGGTGCAGCTGTCCTGGTCCGCCTGGCTGCTGTGCCTTATCCTGGAGTTTTCAAGGTGAGCTTTAACGAGCTCCACGGGCTCCAGCACAGCTCCTGGTCCTGGCTAAGGCACACAGGATTCCCTCCTGGGCACCTGCCTTGTCTCCAACTAGGATGCCAGTCCACTGCCACCCTGCCCTGGACCAGCCCTGAGTCTGTGGGCCCTAGGCAGGGATCAGGCACCTGGGGTTCCATCCAGGTGTCCCCACATGGCCCTGCCAGACTGTCACTTCATTTTGGGGCTAGACAGAGCATCTGTATCACCTGTAGGTGTCCTTCCTTTCCCTGGCTCTGTCCCTCTGAAGGAACATAGGTGGCACCAGGTGACGGTGCCTTGTACTGCCCTCTGGTGTCTGATGCCATCCACTGCACTGCTGTCACAGGCCTGGCCCACTGGTTGGGGGGCCCAGGAGAGTGGAAAAGAGGTCATGGGGCACAGGCTGGGCTGGGTGGGGACTAGGGGCGGGGATGGAAGTGAAACCTGTCTGGAAAGTGGTTGAGGACTGGGTGGGGTGATGATGGCGAAGGACAGGAAGGGAGAGAGGAGTGGGAGAGAGGGAGGAAGCAGGTGCCGTGCGCTTCAAGGCGAAGCTGCCAGGGAAGGGTGGAGCCAGCTCTCCAGCGTGCACGTGAGGCTGGGGACACCTTCTGTCCGGCTGAACCCCCGCTCCCCTGCTCCCTGTGGCGAAGTCCCCTTTCCATTTTGTAAACACAAGTCTTCCCATCATGCCCCATTCCCTCCACAGTAAGAACAGGTCAGGGTGGTGCAGACTGCAGGTTGTCTGGCCCCAGGGTCAAAGCTCAGCTCAGCCTTCTTCGGGCTGTGTGACCTTGGGCAAGTCCCCTAACCTCTCAGAACCTGCTGCCCCACGGAAAAGATGGAAAAGGCGCTAGCAGCAGCAGGCGCTTCCCCTGTTAGGGTGTTTGAGGAGTGAGTGAGAGACCGCATAGGAGTCTCAGGCTTGTTTTTAGCACCAGCTCACTCCTCTTCCCAGTGCCCACCCCCAGATAGACCTTTTCCTGGAGCTTGGGGGTGGAGGAAACAGAAGCCACGGAGCCCGAGGTGGGTTCTGAGGCCGTTGACACCATCTCCTCTGCACCCCAAGGAGAAGACCAAGGGCAAAAGCACCAGGGTAGATGTTTATAGCCCGCCTGATCTGAGACTACTCCCCACCTCCAGCTCCCTCCAGACAACCCCACCCTGTGTCCAATAACCAAGCACCACAAAGGTAGCATCAGTGTTATGATTACCGGCGTTCCGTCCTTCCCCAAGACTCAACAGTTTCCATCACGGGTAAGGACCTGGAATTGCTGGGGGAGCCCACAGTTCCCTATGTAGCCTGAAGAGCCGTGCTGACTCTGCTATTAATAATTCCACATCAGTGCCCAGATGCCCCCTCCGGGCACTGCCTCCTTCCGGAGAGATGCTCTGGTCCTCTGGTGGGGTGAGGAGGGAGCGGGAGGTTTTTCCTTCCCACAGGTTCATCACTGCATGTCTCTAGAGAGTAACCCCGAGGCACCGTGGGCGGTGCACCCCAAGATTCGGGGAAGAGGACCCCAGAGAGAAGGCATGTTAAGGGCACCCTAAATGACCCAGGCAGAGATGGGAAATGAGGAGAGAGGGCTACAGCCCAGTTCTATTTCATTTTGACCCAGAATCTTCTAAGGCTCAGAAGAATGAAAGATCTCACTGTCCCTCCCCAAATCCCCACCCTCAGGGAATAGACAGCTACAGGATTCTACAAAGATATAAAAGCTTAATCTGCAGATCCAGGTGGCAAAACTCGAGGAATTTTGTACAGCTTTGCTAAAAAAAAAAAAGGAAAGAAAGAAAGAGAAAAAAAAGGCAGTGCTTAAGCACCGCCTGTCCCCACCCGAGGGAGGAAGGTGGTCAGAGGAAATGGCTTTGCATTACTGCCACCCTGGGAAGATCAAACCAGGTGTTTGGTTCAAGGAACCGAATCATCGCTGTCCAAAGGGTAACAAGCAAAGCTCCCTGCAGGGAAGGAAACACCGGACAACAGACACCCCCGGGGCCAGCTGCCTGGCAGCCTGGCATCCGGGCTCCCAGCTGCCCATGGCATTGAGGTTTCAGGAATCCAAGTCAGCCTGAGGTTTGAAGGCCGGAGGGAGGGGCAGGGATGTTCAGGGGGTGGCGGTGGGGCAGATTTGGGGGATTTCTGTCCTGTGACGAGCTGGCCACTGCTTCTTGACACCGGGGGTTTCAGTGTCCTTGGTGGCATCAGAAAGGTGGCTCTGGGCTGCACCCCCACCCTTCCCTCCTCTGCGGGTTCCCACAGGGCAGGTGGCAGCAGACCGTGTAAGCCGCCTGCCATCGTCACTCATCCTCCTCGGGAGGCCAGCTACCCCGCACCGCCACGACCTTGGCAGGGGCCACCAAGGGACCACCTCTGGACACGGCCTGCTCCCTGTGTCCCTGGAAAACACTAACCCACTGTTTATACCGTTTTGTCTTACTACCTGCAGGCAGATGGGTGAGACCCGAGGACAGAGGTAGAAGTCCGATCCCTACCATCACCCATCCCATCAAAATTCAGGCCAGAAAAACCCATGAGCACTGCCCCTCCCCACCACTGCACAGCCTGAGATTTGCAGCCTGCTGAGGCCGCCTCCCCTCCCCCCTCCTCCCTTCCCCTCCCCTCCCCTTCCCCTTCCCTCCCCACCCAGAGTCGCCCCCTCCACCAAAACAGCTTCATTATGCCAATTTCCAGCTTTCAGTGCATGGCTGATAGCTGTCAGCAGAAATAAGAGTTAATCTGGAATTACTCACATTCACTGAGCTGCCTGCCTAAGCGGACAAGATAAAGCTTTGATAGGAGCACGAGCCCCTGAGTTCCAGCCTCCTGGGGCCAGGGGCGCCTCCCGTCGTGCTGCTGGGGAAGAAGCAAGGTTGCAGCCCCCCAGGGCCAACCATTTGGTACTGTCTCTAACTCATACACACTCACGTATATTATTGTGCACACAGCATGCACCAACACACATGCACCAGCACACATGTACCAACACACATGCACACACGCATTCCTGAACCCTCCCCCTCCCCACCCACTCCACACCTCCAGGCCTCGGCATGACCATCTGGACATACCTAACTCCGCCCTTTCGCTTGTTGATTCTGGACCGTGATTGACTTTTTATTTTGGAAAATTACTTTATTTTTAGATATAGATATAGATATGTATGTATGCATATATAAAAAGGCTCCATTTCATTTGTAAAATCTATTTTTTCTCTCTCTTTCTCTCTCTCTCTTTTTTATCCCCTACAGAAAATGGTGACGAGGTGGAAGGAGAGGATAAATTACATTACAGTTTCCAAAATGGTTCTCGCTCTCCACCGAAGGTGGGCCACCGTCGGGGCGGCTCCTGCGCTCGTGGTCCCAGCTTGTGCTTTTTTGCAAGAAGAGGGGATATAACTAGACTGGTTATTTTAGGTTAAAATAGCCAAGAGACAGACGCTTTTGCCTCAAAAATATTCTGAGACACATACAAGTAGAAGGAAACAAGTCTCTTCAGTCACAAAATGTCGTACATCCCGCATAGACTAGATTCAATTAATTTAATAAAATAGAATATACATAGAGATTCTGCACAAACGTATTGCTTTCTCCCAACAGCTCCTGGTGTTGGGAACTTGGCCGCCACTGGGCCGTTCTGTCTCTGTCTCTGTCTCTGTCTCTGCCTGGAGCCCGAGTCCCCAGGGCTGGGCTTTGGGTCCTCCAGAGGTCCCAGCTGCAGGGACCCAGGCTGCAGAGGCAGGGAGGGCGGTCTCCTTGGTGTCTACGTGGGACTCTTTCAGGAATACGGCCCAGGAGGAGGGCTAGGAATTGCACCCAGTGGAGGAGTGAGGCAAGATGGGGCTCAGGGGTCCAAGTCTGCCTGCTCAGAAGACAAACCAGAGAGACTCAGCACATCTTTCTTCAGGGAGGGCGAGGCAGCCATGCTGTCCGGAGGACCCAAGGCCAAGGGGTCCTTGGAGTCGCTGGATGGCGCCCTCCTCCGGAGGCAGACACCGGGGCTGGGTGGGGGCCGAGAGCCTTGACTCTCTGGGGGGTCTATGGAGATACTGGGGGGGCTGAGTTTTTTCTTGGGCCGGCTCCCAGGCCCCCCAAGAGGCTGGCCCCCGAGGCTGGAGGGGTCTGGTCCCAGGCGTGGCTGGGAGCCGCTGTCCAGGCAGCTGACTGCGATGGAGTGTCTCCTCTGCTCGTCCAGCCAGGACGAGGGCCTGCGCCGGCAGCTCTGGGCCTCCACGCTGTAGCACTTTTTCAGGTCACGGGGAGAAGTGGGCTCTTCCTGGCTGCCGATGGCCAGGGCGTCCCCTGAAACCCAACTCAGCTCTGTATCCAGCTCTAGGCTGCTTCTGGTCTCTGGAGGGCCTTCACTCTGGTGGGGTTCAGGGCCTAGGCAAGGGGCTGGCGGGGTGATGTGTTTGGAGACCTTGCTCAGGTTGCGGAAGTGCTGCTGTACCTGGATGCTCGAGTGGCCCCAGAAAGATGAGGATCGGGCCAGAGGCGGGGACGGCCGGCTCACCTCGGAGAGCAGGTCTTCCTGGCTGCCCAGGCCCTGCACATCCAAGGAATCAGTCCGTATTGCTGCCTGTACAGGGGGGATGGAGGGCTTAGCAAGGGCTCCCCTCCAACAGGCACCATTCCTGCCTTCCATGAAGCAGGTACCTCACCCCATGTAGTTGCAGAAGTCCCCCAAGCTGCTCTTACTGGGAGATGAGGCCACGAACATCCTGATCTCAGACCCACCACGTCTTGGGTTCTTAGTCCTTCCTCCTCTCTGCTCCCTGCTGCAGCAACCATTGGGACCTGCGGCTGTGACAACCTGACGGCTTGTGTGTCTCTACTCTCAGGCTGTGCGTGCTGCAGGCAGGGAGGAGTGAGGAATGGCTGGGTGCTGTGCCTGCTCCCCAAGTACAGGGACTCAGCATGGACCCCTTCATCCAGGCTCAGGCCTCGGGGCACACACTGGGGCACAGGCTCCAGCTGTGGCCACAGGTGGAGCGGACAAGCCTGAGGCTCTATCCTCTGTCCCTCTGGGCTCTGGACTGCGCCCCAGGCTTGGCCAAAAGTGAAGACACTTAAGACCTGCCTCTGGTTCCCCGCCCAGTTCAAAGTGTGAAACACAGAGCCGCAGCTCTGAGAAGGGATCCCCGAGACCCTGCCCGATCTCCCCCTGGATGTGTGCGGCCCTGGGCAGTCATAGCCCCTCTCCGGCCTCTTCAATGAAACAGGGGAGGGGCTCAAACTCTTGGCCCACACAGGTTACTTCTGCTTGTCCCTGGACCCTCGGGTTCAGTCTAGTATATCACAGGGGCACAGTGTTTGCTGGGGAAGGGAAGAGTCACCTGGGGTGGTCACTGGCCAACAGTCCAGACCTCCCCGCTCCTCACCTGGCGCCTGAGGGGCCTCTGAGCCAAAGGGGAGCGGCCGGGTGGGGGCAGCTTAGGAATGGTGCCCCAGGTGGGGATGCTGTGGGGCTGGAGCATGTGGGGTACATCTTTGGGAAGCTGTGGAATGTAGCTGGTGTCTGCAGGCTGGGAGTGAACGGACAGGATGGAGCCTGCAGAGGGGACAGAGAGTTGAGGAGGACAGAGGACACCTGAGCCCCCAGGTCCCGCCCTATGGAAGCCCTGCCCTCACCACCCTGGATTCAGGCTTCCCCACTCCCGTGGCAGGCTCCCCTGGCAGGGGCCGGGGTCCACCTGCATGAGCGAACTGCCCTGCCCTAGCCCTGGTAGTACCGGACTGGGCTTTGGGGAGCCCCCAGCTCCTACGTCCTAGGGACCCCTCTGCCGTGCTCCTGTCCCGGCACATGTAGCTGTCGTTGGGCAGAGAGTGTGTCCGGCTGACTCCCGTCTTCCGCACAGTCAGCAAGTCTGGCCCTAGGGCACCGGGTGCCTCTTCCAGGTGGGGCTCCATCTGCAGAAGGAATGGGGCAGGGGTCAGGAGGGAGGCACTGGCTTGGTAACACAGGAAGAGCTGCACAAGGGAAAGCTGCCCCCCGCCCCCGCCCTGCCAGGACAAGGTAATGATGGGCATGAGGTGGCAGGGGAGGGGCAGACACATGATGAGCCCCACCTTGAGTGGGAGGAAGGATGGGGAGGCCCTGTACCAGCCCGTGCCCCTGGCATCACCTGCAAGCCTCCCAGCAGGGTGGGGGTAGGGTAAGGAGGCATCCGAGAAGGGAGAGCAGCCCCCACTCCACATCTATGGTGGTCCCAGGCACTTTCTAAAGGCTCCCCGGAGGCTCTGGAGGGGGCCCTGCCATCAACAGAGGCCCAGCTGAGCTGGGTTCATGCGGCTGAGTGACCGAGGAGCACTGTCACAGCCCACTGTAGCCACACAGGGGCCCTGGAGGGTAGGGGTGGGTGGCAGGTACTAGGGGCTCCATTCCTCCCTCTCTGGAAGTGTGGAAGTGGGGTCTGGGGCATCTGTTTTAAGGGAATGGGCCTTAGGACCACTTTGGGAGCCCAGACTCGGGCCCCCTTCTCTCTCCGGATCCATTCCTAGTTCTCATGGACTTGGAGACGGCTTAGGGCTCCTGATCCCAAGTAGGCCCAGAGGCTCATATGGCCCCAGTAGGCTGGGGAGGATTGTGCTAGAGGACAGTCTGCGTCCTCTGCCTCCTTATTAGTCCCAGACCCCACTCAGCTGGCCCCCCAACCTCAGAGGGGACCCCCAGGCTATGGTCAAGGCCCTGCCCCACCTGGGCCCTGCTCTGCCATCAGGCCAGGAGGAGGGGCTGCTCACGGTCAGAAGGAGACAAGGACACAAGGACACACAGGGACAGTGACAGAGTAGACAGGGACAGCCCCCAGGTGAAAGAGGGCATGGTGGTGACAGCAGAGGTGTGGTTCCCACCGCTTGGTGGTGGTGGTGACATCTCATGTGGGGGACAGGGAACAGGGAAGGAAGAGGGGAGGGCTGGCCTGCACAGGGCTCCAAACACAGAGGCCAGTTCTGAGACCACTTCTGTTTGGGGCTGTGTCACTCCTAGAGTGACCCTTTCGCAACTGCTGCCCCTCTAAAGTCTTTTGTTTCACCTTCTCTAATGTCTTGGTCCCCCATTGGGGTGGGGGGGCAGGAAAGGCCTTGAGCCAGTGAAGGCTGGGATACCAAGAGCCCGAGGTGGGTGCCTCTGGGCAGGGGCCAGTGGCAGAGGGATCGAGGACCTGGAGCCTTGCAGCCAGCCCGGCCCGGCTGGCCAGGGGGGCGTGTGGGGCATGTGCATGTACACCGCTCTCCAGGGCACTAAGTGAGAGTGTGTGAGTGTCATCAGGCAAAGAGTCATCCGTCAGAGCTAGAGAGCAGGACGGTTCAGACACAATCTCTGACGTCAGAGACAGAGCCTCCATCTCAGCTAGAGGGATCTAGACAGGAGAGAGATGACCAGGCATGAGAAACCAGGACGGCGCAGCTCCCCTTTTGCAAAGCAGGCTGGGGAGGCATCCTTGTCCGCGCCCCACCCCTTTCCCAAATAATCAGACCGTGCCTCCCCTCACCCCCTGCCACCCCCTGCTCTGATCAGAGAGTCCACGGCAGGCACCAAAGAGCAAACAGGGACAAAGCGGAGAGACACAGCGACGCAGTCTAAAGATACCCCAGGCCCCTGAGCAGCCCCTTCCCGCAGGACCACTACCCAGGCAGGGAGCGGAAGAGCCAGGGGCTTTGACACTCCTAAAGATGATACCCACAAAAAAAAAAAAAAAAAAGAAAAAAGAAAAAAGAAAGAAAGCAAAAGAAAGGCCAGCGAAGCCATCTCCTCTCCTCTCAGAGCAGACAGAGCGGCGTGGGGGCGCTGCCGGCTGTTTTCTGCCTATTCTTTCCATTTCCAAAAGCCTGGCAGGACTTGGCTTGCCCCCAGATCCTGCCTTCTCCCCTCACAGGCTCTCCTCCTCCACCTGCCTGCAACCCTCGCCAGTTCGGGGCCTGGGAGTGCTGCCCCCCCACCCCCCGCCAGCCTCCAGTGGGCATGTCAGGGCTGCCGCAGCATCAGGCCAGCTCACCTGTGGCCAGGATGCTGGGGGGAGTGGGGACCAGGCTGGCAGCTCTGCCCGCCCCCTTTGCCATCACCCCCTCTCCTCTCCTGTCACCTTCCCTGAGAGCCTCCTTCAGACTGTGAGGTGCAGGGAGGGCCTCTGCTTTCCCATGGATCTTGCCAGGTCACTGCCAGGCCTGAGCTTGGATCCAACAAAGGCACAGATCCTTGCCACGTGCCAGTCACCGCTGGGTGTTTGAATCAGGCTAAAGGCTCCCTCAGCACCTGCCTGCCCACCTCTATGCTCAGCAGGTCTGTGAAGGCAAAGTTCCTGTGTCTTCAGGTGGGGCCTGGCAGGGCCTGCCTGCTCCAGGTCTGCAGCGCCCCCCAACTCTGACCCAGCAGAGGGATGGGGCATCAAGGCCAAGGGGAGGAGAGGAAGCGCCCGGGGAAGCTGAAGCTCTGGATGAGGGTGCAGCAAGCACTTTGGGAAAGGGCTGGGCTAGGCTGGGCAGTGGAGGCCAGATCCTCTATCCTGACAAGGTCCCAGAATCCACAACAGGACCCAAGTGGCCAGCTGCCGACAGCGTTCATCAT